TAATCCCCTCACCAACTAGTGACAGTGCTTTTACTTGCTGGATTGTACAACCTGCTTTCTCTTCAAATCTTTCTTTTACTCTTTTGTGACAGTGCTTTTACTTGCTGGATTGTACAACCTGCTTTCTCTTCAAATCTTTCTTTTACTCTTTTTTCCAAGAACTCTTGCCTTATTTTCACTTCTCTACCAGAAGGCTTCTCTCCTAGTATAAACCAAATATGGAAAAAACATTTATACTGTATTTCATTTCTAATGCAGGTTTTCTGTAACATATGATAGCCAAAAGGTTGTTGTATGGAGAAATTGACTTAATTCATCAACTCTATATCATTCAAAGCCCTGTCTCACACACCACTGGAAGCTGGTGCAGCATCAGTCACATGCTTGACATTTATCTGTCCACAATGCTCGCTTTAGTGATTTTTCTGTGTTGGTGTAATGTACTCAGGTGAATATGATGATTGTGATGTTACTCTGAGTGTATATCCACACCGGGCAGGCTTGAAAAAAATGCCTGTTCAAGCATGTGATATTTTGGAACTGAATCTAGGTGTAATGTGTGTTGGTGTAATGTGGATATACACTCAGAGTAACATCTCAATGCTCGGTTTATTACAGACATACATTGCAGTATTGCACAACCTAGCTAACATGTCTACTTTAACTTTTTGGTTATCATTCCATGTTTCGCGCACCAATATAGGTTAGGGTTAGGGGTTAGGTATTAGGGTTAGGTTAGGGGTTACGTTTAAGGTTGGGGTTAGGGTGTGTATATATGTGTATGGAGGTATCTAGTGAACTTTTCAATACACTATAATATCTATTACATAACATTTACTATATTGGTGCGCGAAACATGGAACGATTACCAACTTTTCCTAATAACAACCGGGGGAGGGGGGTTGGGCGAGTGGGACTTATGTAAAGCTACGGTGAGCAACATTGCAAAGCAAGCTAGATAGATAGATTCTGCAAGGCCCTGGCTGTAATAGTTTTAAAATATGAAAACATCTCCAGCAAAAGATATTACAGTATCAAATATATAAAATATATACTTTTAATAATGTGCGTATTAATTTAAACAAATACAATGTATCAAATGAAAATGTTTGGTATTTACAGTAATTATAAATATATTTGCTTACCAATTTGAAATCGCTTTGGATTGGGAAGATTTTTAGACTTTGATTCCGTTGTTAACGCGTGTTTTCCCGTAAAATCGAGGCTCCTTCGACTGGATTTCGGCGTCACCGTCTTAGACGCCTCTATCTCACCAGAACCATCTTCTTCAACAACCGAAACATCGTGTACACAACCTAAAACTGCCTCAAAATGCTCTTCGTCAATTTGCATAGCCTCGCTAGACTCCGCCATGCTGTTTGCGTGTATTTCGATACCATTTTGATGAATATTTTACGTCATGCAAGTTTTCGACTCATATTGACAACTTTTCGAACGCGTTCTGCCAGTCTGGGTACGAGTCAGGGTCGGAATTACCGTTCCAAAAGGTGAACCTCATGAACGGATCAAATATTTAAAAGTGGAACGTCAAAAACTTAAAATAGATTTTGATACCGAATCCAATCCCGAACGTCAAGATATTTTTCGCGAAGCGTTAGAGATCATCGATCAAAATATCGACGATGCAAAATTAGAAATGTGGGAACGGCCCGAATCCGAAGAAGGTGTGCATCGTGTCCGTGAAAAAGTTCGTGAGGATACAAGAATGAGATTTGAGAAATTTAAAGTCTGGGCCAGAGAGAATTTAGGAGTTTTATCTGCGATTGCAATTTCCATCGCGGGAATTATTACGACCGTCGTCGTCGCCGCCGAAAAAAAAAGACGTTGGTCGGTGTTGCAAAAGGGGTGGGTGAAGTTGGAAAAGCGATGGGTAAAATTGCAAAAGCCGCACTTCCCGTGATCGTTCCCATCTTGAATATGTTAGCGACCATTTTAAAATAGGGAGGAAAAGGAATAGAATTTCTTGCGAAAAATCTATGGATTCTTGCCATTCTCATCGCAGGATACCTATACAATTATTTCAAGAAAAAATAAAAATTCTTTTATTTTCATTCCCATTAAATAAAAGAATGGAAAGTCGTACGCAAGAACTGAACCCTAGTTTTAGCCGTCGATCCAGGACGGAACTAACTGGGAATAGAACGAGACATCTGATCATGTTCAATCCCAATTCGGCCAAACCCGGGGAAGAGATCTATGTGAATATTCCAAAACTCAAACCGGATTCTGTTCTGTTTCCTGATAGTATGGCCTTAATCTTCGACTTTAAAAATGCTAACGAAAAATCATGGTTTCGAAATAACTTGGGAAAATTATTGCAGAAAAGATTAGAGATTCGTCTTGCCGGTGAAAAAGTCTACGATAACAGCGGGGAAAGTTTACTGGAAATTTACAAAGACTTGTGGATGGATGGAAAACAACGCGCGGATATGATCCAGGATGGAATTACGACCGAAGCCGTTCGTAAGAAAATCTCCAAGGACGACGAGGCAAACGTCGATGCCGATGCGACTGCACTTTTTGGAATTTTCGGAACGAAACAACGGTTGAAGATTACGAAGATTTTAGGCGATCACGGATTGTACGCTCCGTATCATTCGGCCAACGATCTTCAGTACGTGATCACGTTACCACAAGCGTCAGAAATCATGAACGCCCAAAGCGGGGAAAATGTCGAAGGGTATTCTTTGGAAAATTTAGAACTGGAATACGAAAGTATCGAAAATATAAATCTTGCACGAAAATCTGAAAATCTCTACGGTGCCGAACGCGAATTATCTTTCGAACATGCAACGTTAATAAAAAAGACCGAATGGGATAAAAGTTTAACGATCGTTAACGAAACCGTCAATCTTCCACGACGAAGTATGAAAGCCGTCGTCATGCTTTTCACGGAAAAAACACCGACCGATAGTGAAGAATATGTCTTTCCAAATATCGATAAAGTCAAGGTCACGATCGAAGGTGTTCCAAACGTCGTGTACAGTCAGGGCATATCGAAGACGAGGATGTACGAAGAAGCCAAACGTCTTTTTGGAACCGATGCAAACGGACAACAATCCCTGATAAAATTTTACAAGGATAAAAAATTTGCACTGGTCATCGACTTGCGGACGGCAAACGATGCGAAAACCTACGGAAACGGAGTGAAAATTCAAAATACACAATCTGGAATTCTGATCGAAATTACGAAGAAAGCAACGACCGCCAACGTTCTCTGTTACACGTTCGTTCTTTCCGACGGCGTGATTAAAATGATCAACGGACAATTGAGTGGCGTACGATATTAACTTATCGCGATAACTTCTTTTTTCATATTTTTTTCGAAAAAATATGAAAAAGATCCCTATTCCGTTTTTTCATCCTCCTCTTTCACGTCTTCCGTTCTTTTCTTCCGCACACGTGTTTCACCGTCGTCACGCCGCCACTTAAAATTCCTAAATACGGAATGTACGGCGATATTTTTTCAACCAGACTGTTCACGTAGATGTAGATAAAAGATGTAGATAAAACTTTATTTAAACAGTCACGCTATAACCCCTTCAGCATTTGCTGATTTCCAAGAGGGGCGTGATGATAAAATATATACAATAGTTATACACCTACATATTAAATTTTACAATTAGTTAAATCATGATTAAATAAAGATATAATAATAGATTTAAGACTGCAGCCTAGTATCAGAAATCAACGAATTGAATAGATTTAATGAATTTGCGCTTCTTAACTCGCAAGGTAAGCTATTCCAGAGTTTTGCTCCACTATACCGGATGCTATTTTTCAAGTATTCTGTTTTTGGTTTTGGTAAGTAAAACTTGAAATCATGGTCTCTTAAATTGTAATTATGTTGAGGAGCAGATGAGTCTTCAAAGATATCGGTTAAAACAGGTGGTGCTTGCGCATGAGCAATTTTGTACATAAACTTGCCCCTAAAGATTAATCTGCGTTCTTTTAACGTTTTCAATTTCAATTCAGACAAAGCGGCTTCAGACTGACCATGCTCATTTCTATATCCTAAGATGACCCTTGCTGCCCTATTTTGAAGTACTTGTAATCGATTTGTAAGCGTGGTACCAATTGGATCCCACACAAGACAGCAATAGTCAAAATACGGTTGAACAAGAGCATAATAGACGGATAGGAGAGTGAGACGGTTAAAATATGGCCTTAGTCGTTTTATAGCCCCAATTCCAGCTGCTACCTTTTTACATAATTCATCTAAATGACTATCCCAAGATAAAAATTGATCAATTAGAATACCTAGCGACTTCGTTTCAGTTACACGTTTAATGGGTTTTTAATAACACGTTTAATTACACGTTTAGTTACACGTTACACGTTTAATCACACGTTACACGTTTAGTTACACGTTACACGTTTAGTTACACGTTACACGTTTTAGTTACACGTTTAATCGCTTTTTAATAACGTGTCCTGACCCAATTCCTCTTTTAATTCTTCACCGCTATCGATCATGCGAAGATTTTCCAGTAATCCCGAAAATTTTTCGATCAATGTTTCCGTGAGAAGAACGTTGGCCTTTTCACGTTGACCGAGGATGTATTCCCGCTTGATTTTAAAAATAACTTTTGGTGTTGCCTTTTTCAAATAATTCTCGGACTGATTAATTTCACCCGCGTTCGATAACCGAATTAATTCGGCTCGCGTATCCTCGAATACTTCTTGTTCCGTTTCACCAATTCGCTCGTACGGTTCTTGATAGCCTGCATGGCAGGCGGTCTAAAATACCGCCTGCTGGGTTTAGCAGTGTAATTTGATAACCGCCCACTTTTTTGTCTGAGTCCAATTAGCCAATCAGCAAACACTAAATATATTTATAATCAAACTGTCAAACTATGTTGTTGTTTGGTCGCAAAATTGCAAATGTATAAAAATATGTCGACAAGAGGTAGAAAAGCAAGCGCGGAAAATGTAAATGACTTGTCGTTTGTTTAAGTGTGCTTTGAAATTAAAATACGGGGCAATATGCCAATAGAGAAAATATCTTATATTCTTATATATCGTTGGAGAAATTATTTATTTAAGGCAAGCAAAAGAAACGTTACGACAGTGGTAAAACCTTGGCCGAAATAAGCCGAATTGCCGGTTCAGTTCATTTAGGAATCGAAGTTAATTCTACCTCGGAACTATCCGACCAAGTTTGTAAACCGTGTGAGCGAAATATCCGAAATGCAAGCGAACTGATTGCCATAATCAAACGAGACATAAACGCGTTGCCTGTGTACGTTCAAACAAATAGACAGTTGTATATTAAAAACCTCAGTTGCCAATATGAACTGTCTCGTCTGAGTCGTCTCCCTAACGAAGCCGTGTGGTAACGAAAGCCTTAAAAAGTTCAGAAAGTGAAGCGGCTATTAATAGGCATAGGCGTAATAGTCCTGTTATAAAACCCGTTGCAAGAAAGAATATACGGCCGTCTGTATCTATTCTCGTTATATTTTCTCCCGCCAACAAGAACAATGTAAAAATCAAGCTTTTCCCATAGAATGGTCAAAACATTCTTTCCAAGGAGTAAATCTTTAACTGCTATCTCTTGCTCGCGTTTGACAATCAGTTCGCGTTTCGACTTTCGAGAAGCGTTCAGTTTTACAACACCTATTAATTAAAGCGAACGCATGCATCATTAAAGTGTCAAACGTATGTTTACATATTAAAGTGCATTCACTTTTGAGTGACAGCGGCTCAGACTCGCAGCCAATCATCAATTCCCGTCCACTGGTGGACGGGGAATTCGATTACACTGCCAAACCCAGCAGGCGGTATTTCCCAGGCTTGCCCAATTTTAGGAACCGCCTGCCATGCAGGCTAGGTTCTTGACGGATTTCGTACTCGCACAATCGTCCAGGATAATCAACGCATCTTTTCCCGATGCATAATTCACGACGGATTTCAACGAATCTTCCACATCGTCGTGATTACACGAAACGATGAAAAAGTTAGGATCGTCGTAGATAAAATTCTGGTCGTACGTTTTATTCCAATGATACGTCGGACAGATTAAAAAAATCTCTGAAAATTCACGAAAATACGTCGTCTTCAATTCCACGATCAGGTAATGGGTTTTTCCACATGCCGTCATTCCCACGATGATCATATTAAACGGTTTCATTTAATTAAAGGATGGGATGTCTTTCTTCAAAATCCGAAAAAACTCGGAAGCAAAATAAAAATCATAAGAGACGAAAAATGTTTAGTCTGGGGTTGGGTTCGATCGCGGGGATGCAACGACCAGCATTCATACACAGATCGGATATGTCAGTACGACCGTTAAAAATTACGACGGAAGAATAAAAGATGAAATTATTCCTGTGGAGGATATTGTTCTGGACGAGTCTGATCAGTTGTCTTCTGATCCCGATCACGTTCGAACTCTTGCTGGTAATGATCATCCTGAATAGATTCTAGATGATACGACCATCTAAAATTCACTATGCAGACGGCGACTAAACCGTTAATTCTTCTTCTTTCCTTCCTTTCTTACGACACATTTTGATCAACTTTGTGCTCACAAATAGTATGACGGACAACGCAGACAATGCACAGGCGGCACACGTCGCATACAAGACGTTGGCTTCTCTTTCCGTCAATCTTACGTTCGGAATTTCGGTTTCGTTGCTACCCGCTAATTTCATGGCCGAATAGAGTACTGTCGTTGCCGGATTCATTCTTTTATTTAACTGGAATTTTAATGTATTCTTTACATTAAAATTATCCATTTCTTGTCTTAATTCCGTAAAAGTCTTTTTCTTGGAACCCTGGGTTTTTCTTCCAGAATATTAGCTTCATACAATTTGATCTGGATACAAGTTGTTCTGCTGGATATAAAAATTCCTTCGATGCGAACGATTGCATCGACGTGAAACCTTTTATCCTGATATTCTTCTGGTTTGATAGGAAAGTCTTCCTTTGGTGGATACATTTCCGTTCCGTCATCGATCCTCGGATATAGAATCGGGACGCTACCTTTCCGATAAAAACACTTCATTCGTCAGGTTTACCAACATGTTTTGCACATTCCTTTTCAATTAATTCCAAAGCAGATACAAACTCTGACTTTTCCCAGAGTGATAGGGAAATGGATCGGTTTTCCCTAACATACTTTTTACTCACGCTTACTCCATAAGACAGACAATCTGTAACTTTCAGAAAAAGAGGACCATTATCACATGCCGTTAATTTAATATTTTTAGACCCGTACCTGTTTACGACGGCATCTTCGAAACGGAACAAATCTTTGGTAAAATCCGAGACTTTAGTGATTGACATTTTTCTTTTATTTATATAAGGTGTGGAGAAGAAAAAAAAAATCTTGAAGGGAAAATCCCGAGGAAAATCCCGAGAAAGAAATCCGCGGGAACGATCTTGGAAAAGTCTTGGAAAAATCTCGAGGAAAAAATCTTGGGAAAATCCTAAAAAACGGGAGTTCCTGGAAAATGTCCCGGGAATGATCCTGGGAATGTCTTGGGGAAATCCCGGGAAAAGTCTTGGGGATAAATCTTTGAAAAATTTTGGGAAAGTCTTGGGGAATGATTCCTGGAAAATCTTGGAAAAGTCTTGGGGAACGATTCCTGGGAAATCTTGGGGATGGGACTAAAGGGGCTAAAGGGCTAAAGGGCTGAAGACACTATATTTTGTGTTACATGAAGTTTACATAAGTTTGCGCCTGGGGCCCCTTATTCATACTACTATCGTCAGCAGGGTTGTCATATGTTTCGAAGTATCTCCATTGATTTGGGTTTGAGTAGTTACGAATTAGTTGAACACGATTGGCGACAAACACATGAAACCGTTGTTGCTCGTTGATGATGTAGCGAAGGACGGTTGTGGAATCGGTGTGGTATTTCAGATCATAAATATCGTCCAATTCACTCTTTAACAGCGCTCCGATACGAACGGATACTGCTGCGGCGCTGAGTTCCAAGCGTGGTATGGATGTTATCACTTTCATCGCATAAACGAAGGTACGCTACCGCTTCATAGCCTGTTATGCTGGCATCGGAGAAAATATGAATTTCTTGAGAAACCACTTTTCCAAAATCTTTTGGTCTAACACATCGTGGAACTTGCAATTTCTGAAGTAAAGGAAGCTCAGTTAGCCATCTTTCCCAACGAATCCTGTGTTCATCAGAAACTTCGTCATCCCAGCCGATGTCTTCGTGACAAAGGTCTTGAAGTATCTTTTTCGCGGGGAGTATAAACGGAGCCGCGAAACCGAGAGGATCGTAGACGGAGGAAACAGTTGACAATATTCCTCTTCTAGTAGGTGGTTTATTGGTAAGGACGATTCGAAATTCAAAAGCATCTAATTCGACGCACCACTGCATGCCAAGAGCACGTTCGATAGGTAGCATGTCTCGGTTTAAATCCAATGTTCTGGTTTCTTTTGAACGTTCTTCAACCGGGATCGTCTCGAGAACCGCACGACTGTTACTGACAAACATGGTCAAACAAAATCCTCCTTTTGCGCACACCATCTTCAGATCTTGTGCTAACTTCGTGGCGCTTTCTTCAGTTGTATCTGACCGCAAACAGTCATCGACATAGAAGTTTCTTCGAATAGTTTCAGCAACAACTGGATAATCTGACTCGTTGTCTGCGGCAGTCTTCCTTAACGCGTAGTTACAGCAACTTGGTGAGGAGACTGCTCCGAATAAATGACCACCATTTGATACTCTTCTATTTCCCCATTCAAATCACCTTCTGGCCACCAAAGAAACCTCAAGTAGTTCCACTGTTCTTCTGGTACCCACACTTGATGGAACATAGCCTCTACGTCCGTCATAAAGGCTATTGGTTCTTTTCTCAAGCGCGTAAGGACACCGATAAGAGAATTTGTAAGATCAGGACCTTGTAGCAGTAATTTTTTTAGTGATGTTCCAGCATAATCAGCACTACAGTCAAAAACAACGCGTATTTTCTCAGGCTTTTTCGGATGATAGACGCCATGATGTGGGATGTACCATACTTGGCCAGATGCTGGACGAACCTCGTTCTCGGGTATTTTTCGAGCGTAACCTTTGCAAATGATTTCGTTCATAAAGTTACTGTAATCACGGTGGTATTTAGTATCACGTTGCATTTTCTTTTTCTGCCATAATGCTCGTTTCAATACTTGATTTCTGTTGTTTGGCAATATCATCTCTGGATTTCTGAATGGAAAGGGTGTCTCATAATGGCCCTTGGGTAGACGAATGCCATTATCCATGTTAGTTAGAAATTTCTTGTCTTCTTGGGAAAAGCTTCGTTCATCAGGACCAACTTTATGATCGTTGAAGTCCAATTCAAACATTCTTCCAATAGCCTCGGGTGAAATAACTTCTTTAACTGTATCATTGGTTTCACGAACAGTAATTCGATGACACGTGATGTCAGATTGTGATGTGTTGGATATAGACAAAGGTCTCTTCAAAGTCCATCCATGACGAAGCCGCATCGCGAAGGGACCTTCACCTCGACTGGGTACTACTTCTAAAGGCTCGAGTGCTGCTGGGCAATTGCTACCGATTAACAAACCAATCTCGACATCTGGTTGAAACTCTGGAATCAGCTTCGCAATTTCGCGAAGATGCTGCCACCGTTTAACCATTCCAGGTGTAGGGATTTGTCCGTCTGTTACCGGTATCTCGGTTCTTGTATACAGTCTTGTTATTTCAACTGGATTCAAGTCTTTCATATCGGTCACTACCAGATCTTCTACAATGGTACTGTCCACTAAATTACGATCGAGCATTGTTCCAAGCTGCAACTTCGTACGTTGACCTTGCACACCGAGCTGCTCTCGAAGATTTTCTGTTAGAAAACAGCCTCCACTCCCATTGTCATAGAAAGCATAAGTAGTTACTGTTCCGGTACTACCCTTCGGCTTGACTTTCACGGGTATGATAGCGTGTACGACTACCACGTCGTTTGGAGAATTGGAGGGCATTTTGGTACATGCATTCTTTACTTCTTCCTCGCTTTTACGAACTTGATTCTCTAATTTAAAGTCATCAACGTGAAGAGCAGATAGATGTGGCTTGTTACATTTCTTACATTTCTTTTTCGTAAACAGCCTCTTGAAATGTGATTCTTCTCGTAACAGGCGAAACACATCTTGTTTTGCTTGAGATATTCTTTTCTTTGCTCGACGGTTTTCTTCAGAAAAAGTTGGCAGTCGTCCAGGTCGTGAGAGGAGTTGCACAATGGACAGACGATGATCGGTTTTGGTGACCCGGCCCCATGTATTAAGGTGGGATTTGTTGCAAAACTACAGTTCTTGTTCTTTAACTGAATGCTGTCTCTTTTATCAAATTTCTTGGAGCTTTCTTTGCTTTTATTGAGAGCTTCTTTCCCAAACACTGGATCACTTGGAGCATCAGCAGCCGATTGGACAAAACTGGCGAGGTTCTCAAAGTTTGCTATCTTTGCGTTGTCCCTTCTGATCTTGGCTACGAGGTCTCTCCATTTTGCTTGTAGATGGAATGGTAACTTTGAGACCACTCCTTGCATGTTCGGTGCATGAACAAGTACACACAAATGAGAAATACTCTTCATAGCGGTCTTACATTTGATCAAAAAATGGGAAAATGATTTTAGGGCTTTTCCTTCGTCCATTTGATGAGTGCCCAATTGAGGATTCTCTGGATATACGCCATGGATATCTTGTATGGATCCCCATACTCTTTCTTCAGCAACCGTCTTGCTTCCGTATAGCCTATTTCCGGATCCATGTGTAAACAACCTTCAATCATATCTTTCGGTTCTCCACTCAAATGTTGGTTTAAATAATACAGTAGGTCTGCGTTGTTATTAACTCGATACTATATTCGGGTGTCAAAGGACATAACGAAAGTTCTGTATTCTAGAGGATCGCCTTTAAATACGTTTACAGATGGTTGTGGTAAAGTCATTGAAGCGGTGAGCTGTTGATGGGTTGATATCAATGTTTCAGTTTGTCTTTGCTGAAGTAACATCATACTTTCAAGCACACTTTCTATCACGTTGGCTGTATTTGGGCTCGGTTCTTTATCAGGGGGATTCTTTGCAACTCCTATTCCATTGTTAACATTTGACGCTGAGGTGGGATTTACGAACGTATGATATTCGTATTCAAATGTTCGAGCATTTGATGGAGATTGTACTTGTTGCGGTTTTGAATGTTTTGGATCACTAGACTGGTTTCTACGTTGAGGCAATGTTTGAACACCGCGCATCACACTACGTCTTTCTGTAGCATTATGCGATATTTCACTTGGTTGGCTTGCCATCTGTAGTTTAGAAGGAAAATTTTGACAAGGCACCTTTGAAGCAGGAAGCTGTTGGTAGGATGATGTGGTCGACAAGGACACGGGACGTCTTGACTTATAACTATACAATTCATCTTCGCTCATTTCCGCCAAAGCTTTCTACCTCGCTTTCGCCTTGACTATCTCTATTTCCAATTTTAGATCTTCTTCCGCATTCTTAAGAGCTTGTCTTTTCTTTAACATGGATCTCTCGCTATCAGCTCAGCCAATCTGACCTTTTCTTGCCTTCTGGCAGAAACCTTCGACGATCTTGAACTAGTCTTGGATGCGCGAGTGCTGTGAGATGGTCGAGTGCGATCAGAGACTTTGCTGCTTAACGATTCCAGGCGGTCAGATAAATTATGTTCTGCTTCAGTGATCCATGATGACACTTGACTTAGGTATATTACAATATCTTTTTCTTTCAAATTGTTATGCTCGATTACAGCTTGTTTTGCCTCGCCTTCGCTTAGTTCTTTTAGATGAGAATCACACGCTTTCCTATATTCTACAGAGCGTTCTTCCAAATGAGACAACTCAAGTTTGACCAGATGCAAATTGTTACGATCAGTCATAAAGGCAGACAATGCATTCCTTTGTCGAGTCGCGGCACATAGAGCTGTTATTCGTCGCTGTCTGAGACGATCGATCTTTACTGATTTTCCCTTTTCACTCTCATCGTGGTCAACCGAGCTTGTTTCTTCTGTACTTGACTGACGATTACTCTGCTGTCGATTGCCTGTTGATTGTATATCAACGTTGTCTGTTTCCTCGGCAAATATCTGAGGCTGTGTGTCTCCATGCGTATCTTAGTCGACTCTTGAAGTACTCATACCGTTTCTCAAACGTTACTTTATCTATTCAAAGACGACAATTGATCGAGCGATTACATACTAAGAACGTTTGGTTGTATCTCGGTAAAACGTTTCAAGATTTTTTTGTTACGATGTAAGTGCACGTAAATTTCTATTGTCTCGCAGAATCGATATTAGCTAAAATTTATTCAGTAAAAAACAGACGTTGTTAACTCAATCCACGTTCAGCATTGTGGCCGTTTAAGAGTTCGCCATCGCTGCTCGGTGTATTCGGATAGCTAACAAAAAACTAAAATCAAAGATAAAGAAATACATGCATGCTAAACTATACTACAAAAAACGTAAACATGAATGCACAGAGTAATAAATACACAAGTGCCTACATCTGTGTCCGTTTAAGGTGAAGCAAGTTCGTTTAACCTTTAACTCAACTTCGATCGTTATACTGTCACTTATAACATAAATGAAACGCCTTCTGTTCGACTTCGTATCGTATGATCAACTGACTAGTTAATTTTCTAGCAAGCATTTTAATGTTCAATGTCAATCATGGATAACAAACTATAATTTGCATAATTAGTCATTTAATAAATTTTATACTTAAATGCACACGCCATAACACTGAGGACAAGCTTCCTGACGGTGAGGATCAGGTTCCTCACGGTGAGGACAAGGTTCCTCGCGCAGAGGACAAGATTCCTCACGCAGAGGCCAAAGTTCCTCTCGCTGAGGTCAAGGTGCCTCACACTGCGGACTAGATACCTCACACTGAGGACAAGGTTCCTCACGCTGAAGACAAGGTTCCTCACGGTGAGGACAAGGTACCTCACACTTAGGACAAGGTATCTCACACTGAGGACAACATTTCTCAACCTGAGGTCAAAGTTCCTCACACGCTGAGGACAAGGTACCTCACACTGAGGACAAGGTTCCTCAAGCTGTGGACAAGGTACCTCACATTGAAGACAAGGTACCTCCCACTGAGCACAAGATTCCTCACGCCCAGGACAACGTTAGTGACGTTGAGAACAAGGTTCCTGACGCTGAGGACAAGGTCCCTCAAGCTGAGATCAAGGTTCCTCACGGTGAGCACAAGGTACTTCGCACTGAGGACAAGGTACGTCACACTGTGGACAAGGTTCCTCATGCTGAGGACAAGGCTTCTCACGTTGACAGGACAAAGTTCCTCAAGCTTAGGACTAGGTACCTCACACTGAGGACAAGGTACCTCACACTGAGGAGAAGGCTCCTCAAGCTGAGGACAAGGTTGCTCGCGCTGAGGACAAGCTTCCTCACGCTGAGGACAAGGTCCCCACGCAGAGGGCAAGGTCCCTCAAGGAGAGGACAAGGTTTCTCACGCTGAGGACAAGGTAACTCACACTGAGGACAAGGTACCTCACACTGAGGACAAGGTTTCTCACGCTGAGGACAAAGTTCCTCACGCTGAGGAAAAAGTTCCTCACGCTGAGGACAGGGTTCCTGACGCTGAGGACAAGGTTCCTCACGCTGAGGACGAGGTACCTCACACTGAGGACAAGGTTCTTCAAGCTGAGGACAAGGTACCTCACACTGAGGACAAGGTTTCTCACGCTGAGGACAAGGTTCCTCACGCTGAGGACAAGATACCTCACACTGAGGACAAGGTTCCTCACGCTGAGGACGGGGTTCGTCACGCTGAGGACAAGGTATCGCAGGCTGAGGACATAGTGCCTCACCCTGAGGACAAGGTACCTCACACTGAGGACAAGGTACCTCACACTGAGGACAAGGAACCTCACGCTGAGGACAAAGGTCGTCACGCTGAGGATAAGGTTCCTCAAGGTGAGGACAAGGTACCTCACACTGAGGACAAGGTTCCTGACACTGATGACAAGGTTCCTCACGCTGAGGACAAGGTACCTCACACTGAGGAAAAGGTTCCTCACGCTGAGGACAAGGTTCCCACAGTGAGGACAAGTTAGCTCACACTGAGGACCAGGTTTCTCACCCTGATGACAAGGTTCCTCAAGATGAGGACAAAGTTCCTCACACTGAGGACAAGGTACCCCTCACTGAGGACAAGGTTCCTCGCTCTGAGGACAAGGTTCGTCACGCTGAAGACAAGGATCCTCACGCTGAGGACAAAGTTCGTCACGGTGGGGACAAGGTCCCTCACGCTGAGGACAAGGTTCCTCAAACTGAGGGCAAAGTACCTCACACTGAGGACAAGGTACCCCACACGTAGTACACGGCTCCTAGGTTCCTGACGATGAGGACAAGGTTCCTCAAGCAGAAAACAACGTACTTCACGCTGACGACAAGGTACCTCACACTGAGGACAATGTTCCTCAAGTTGAGGACAGGCTACCTCACGCTGAGGACAAAGTTCCTCACGCTGAGGACAAGGTACCTCACACTTAGGACAGGGTACCTCACACTGAGGACAAGGTTGCTCACGCTGAGGAAAAGGGACCTCAAGCCGAGCACAAAGTTCCTCACACTGAGGACAAGGTTCCTCACTCATAGGACAAGGTTCCTGACGGTGAGGAAAAGGTTGCTCACGCGGAGGACAAGGTTCGTCAAGCAGAGGACAAGTTTCCTCACGCAAAGGACAAGGTTCCTCACTATGAGGACAAGGTACCTCACACTGTGGACAAGGTTCCTCACGCTCAGGACAAGGTTCCTCACGGTGGCAGAGGACAAGTTTCTTCACGCATAGGGCAAGGTTCCTCACTCTGAGGACAAGGTACCTCACACTGTGGACAAGGTTCCTCACGCTCAGGACAAGGTTCCTCACGGTGAGGACAAGGTACCTCACACTGAGGACAAGGTTCCTCACGCTGAGGACAGGTTTCCACAAGGTGAGGACAAAGTTCCTGGCACTGAGGACAAGGTACCTCTCACTCAGGACAAGGATTCTCAAGCTGAGAACAAGGTACCTCACACTGAGGACAAGGTACCTCACACTGAGGACAAGGTTCGTCACGCTGAGGACAAGGTTCCTCACGCTGAGGACGAAGCTGCTCACGCTGAGGCCAAGTTCCTCATGCAGAGGACAAGGTTCCTCACGCTGAGGACAAGGTACGTCACAATGAGGACAAGGTACGTCACAATGAGGACTAGATTTCTCACGCTGAGGACAAGGTACCTCACACGGAGGACAAGGTACCTTACACTGAGGACAAGTTCCCTCACGCTGAGGACAAGGTTCCTCACGTTGAGGAAAAGTTTCCTCACGCAGAGGACAAGGTTGCTCTTTCTGAGGACAAGGTACCTCCCACTGTGGACAAGGTTCCTCACGGTGAGGACAAGGTTCCTCACGGTGAGGTCAAGTTACCTCACACTGAGGACAAGGTTCCTCACGGAGAGGACAAGGTCCCTCACACTGAGGATAAGGTTGCTCACAGCGAGGACAAGTTTCCTCACGCTGAGGACAAGGTTCCTCACGCAGAGGACAAGATTCCTCATTCCGACGACCAGGTACCTCACACTGAGGACAATGGACGTCACACTGTGGGCAAGGTTCCTCACGGTGAGGACAAGGCACCTCACGCTGAGGACAATGTTCCTCAAGGTGAGGACAAGGTTCCTCACGGTGAGGACAAGGTACCTCACACTGAGGATAAGGTTCCTCAAGCTGAGGACAAGTTTCCTCAAGCTGAGGACAAAGTACCTCACACTGAGGACAAGGTACCTCACACTGAGGACAAGGTTCCTCACGCTGAGGACAAGGATCCTCAAGCTGAGGACAAGGTACCTCACACTGAGGACAAGGTACCTCACAACGGACAAGGTACCTCACACTGAGGACAAGGTTCCTCAAGCTGAGGACAAGTTTCCTCAAGCTGAGGACAAAGTACCTCACGACTGAGGACAAGGTACCTCACACTGAGGACAAGGTTCCTCACGCTGAGGACAAGGTTCCTCAAGCTGAGGACAAGCCACCTCACACTGAAGACAAGGTACCTCACACTGAGGACAAAGTCCTCACGCTGAGGACAAGGTTGCTCCGTCAAGCTGAGGACAAGCTACCTCACACTGAAGACAAGGTACCTCACACTGAGGACAAAGCTCCTCACGCTGAGGACAAGGTTGCTCCGGCTGAGGACAAGCTTCCCCACGCTGAGGACAAGGTCCTCAGACTACTGAGGACAAGGTCCCTCAAGGTGAGGACAAGGTTCCTCACGCTGAGGACAAGGTACCTCACACTGAGGACAAGGTACCTCACACTGAGGACAAGGTACCTCACGCTCACACTGAGGACAAGGTTCCTCATGAGGACAAGGTTCCGCAAGCTGAGGACAAGGTACCTCACACTGAGGACAAGGTACCTCACACTGAGGACAAAGCTCCTCACACTGAGGACAATGTTCCGCAAGCTGAGGACAAGGTACCTCACACTGAGGACAAGGTACCTCACACTGAGGACAAAGCTCCTCACACTGAGGACAATGTTGCTCCCGCTGAAGACAAGCTTCCTCACGCTGAGGACAAGGTCCTCACACTGAGGACAAGGTTCCTCACGCTGAGGACAAGGATCCTCAAGCTGAGGACAAGGTACCTCACACTGAGGACAAGGTTCCTCACGCTAAGGACAAGGTTCCTCACGGTGAGGACAAGGTTCCTCACGGTGACGACAAGGTTCCTCACGCTAAGGACAATGTTCCTCACGGTGAGGACAAGGTTCCTCACGGTGACGACAAGGTACCTCACACTGAGGACAAGGTTCGGACAAGGTTCCTCAAGCTGAGGACAAGGTACCTCACACTGAGGACAAGGTACCTCACACTGAGGACAAGGTTCCTCACGCTGAGGACAAGGTTCCTCAAGCTGAGGACAAGCCACTTCACACTGAAGACAAGGTACCTCACACTGAGGACAAAGCTCCTCACGCTGAGGACAAGGTTGCTCCGGCTGAGGACAAGGTTGCTCCGGCTGAGGACAAGCTACCTCACACTGAGGACAAGGTACTTCACGCCGAGGACAAGGTTCCTCAAGGTGAGGACAAGTTTCCTCAAGCTGATGACAAAGTACCTCACACTGAGGACAAGGTACCTCACACTGAGGACAAGGTATCCTCACGCTGAGGACAAGGTTCCTCACGCTGAGGACAAGGTTCCGCAAGCTGAGGACAAGGTACCTCACACTGAGGACAAGGTACCTCACACTGAGGACAAAGCTCCTCACACTGAGGACAATGTTGCTCGCTCCCTCCCGCTGAAGACAAGCTTCCTCACGCTGAGGACAAGGTCCTCACATTGAGGACAAGGTCCCTCAAGCTGAGGTCAAGGTTCCTCACGCTGAAGACAAGCTTCCTCACGCTGAGGACAAGGTCCTCACATTGAGGACAAGGTCCCTCAAGCTGAGGTCAAGGTTCCTCACGCCCAGGACAACGTTAGTGACGCTGACAGCATGGTTCCTGACGCTGAGGACAAGGTCCTCACGCTGAGGACAAGGTTACTCAAGCTGAGAACAATGTTCCTCACTGTGAGCCCAAGGTACCTCACACTGATGAGAAGGTACGTCACACTGTAGACAAGGGTCGTCACGCTGAGGACAAGGATCCTCAAGCTGAGGAGAAGGTACCTCACACTGAGGACAAGGTACCTCACACTGAGGACAAGGTGTCTCACGCTGAGGACAAGGTTCCTCACGCTGATGACAAGGTTTCTCACGCTGAGGACAATGTTCCTCACGCAGAGGACAAGGTTGCTCTTTCTGAGGACAAGGTACCTCACACTGTGGACAAGGTTCCTTACGGTGACGACAAGGTTCCTCACGGTGAATTCAAGGTACCTCACACTGAGGACAACGTTCCTCACGGTGAGGACAAGGTACCTCACACTGAGGATAAGGTTGCTCACAACGAGGACAAGTTTCCTCACGCTGAGGACAAGGTTCCTCACGCAGAGGACAAGGTTCCTCATTCCGACGACAAGGTACCTCACACTGAGGATAAGGGACGTCACACTGTGGGCAGGGTTCCTCACGGTGAGGACAACGACCTCACACTGAGGACAAAATTTCCTCAAGCTGAGGACAAGTTTCCTCAAGCTGAGGAAAAAGTACCTCACACTGAGGAGAAGGTACCTCACACTGAGGACAAGGTTCCTCACGCTGAGGACAAGATTCCTCAAGCTGAGGACAAGGTACCTCACACTGAGGACAAGGTACCTCACACTGAGGACAAGGTTCCTCAACCTGAGGACAAGCTTCCTCAAGCTGAGGACAAAGTACCTCACACTGAGGACAAGGTACCTCACACTGAGGACAAGGTTCCTCAACGCTGAGGACAGGGTTCCTCTAGCTGAGGACAAGGTACCTCCCACTGAGAACAAGGTACCTCACACTGAGGACAAAGCTCCTCACGCTGAGGACAAGGTTCCTCACGCTGAGGACAAGGTACCTCCCACTGAGAACAAGGTACCTCACACTGAGGACAAAGCTCCTCACGCATTGAGGACAAGGTCGCCCTCAAGGTGAGGAGAAGGTTCCTCACGCTGAGGACAAGGTACCTCACACTGAGGACAAGGTTCTTCAAGCTGAGGACAAGGTTCCTCACGCTGAGGACAAGGTACCTCACACTGAGGACAAGGTTCCTCAAGCTGAGGACAAGGTTCCTCACGCTGAGGACAAGGTACCTCAAACTGAGGACAAGGTTCCTCACTCTGAGTACGGGGTTCGTCACGTTGAGGACAAGGTTTCTCAGTCTGAGGACATGGTGCCTCACGCTGAGGACAAGGCACCTCACACTGAGGACAAGGTACCTCACACTGAGGAAAAGGTTCCTCTCGCTGAGGACAAGGCTTCTCACGCTGACGACAAGGTTCCTCACTGTGAGGAACAAGGTTCCTCACGCTGAGGACAAGGTACGTCACACTGAGGACAAGGTTCCTCACGCTGAGGACAAGGTACCTCTCACTGAGGAGAAGGTACGTCACACTGAGGACAAGGTTCCTCACGCTGAGGACAAGGTACCTCTCACTGAGGAGAAGGTACGTCACACTGAGGACAAGGTTCCTCACGCTGAGGACAAGGTACCTCTCACTGAGGACAAGGTACGTCACACTGAGGACAAGGTTCCTCACGCTGAGGACAAGGTACCTCTCACTGAGGACAAGGTACGTCACACTGAGGACAAGGTTCCTCACGCTGAGGACAAGGTACCTCTCACTGAGGAGAAGGTACGTCACACTGAGGACAAGGTTCCTCACGCTGAGGACAAGGTACCTCTCACTAAAGACAAGGTACGTCACACTGAGGACAAGGTTCCTCACGCTGAGGACAAGGTACCTCTCACTGAGGACAAGGTACCTCACACTGAGGACAAGGCTCCTCACGCTGAGGACAAGGTTCCTCACGGTGAGGACAAGGTACCTCACACTTAGGACAAGGCTACCTCACGCTGAGGACAAGGTTCCTCACGGTGAGGACAAGGTACCTCACACTGAGGACAAGGTACCTCACGCTGAGGACAAGGCTCCTCACTCTGAGGACTAGGTACCTCACCCTGAGGACAAGGTACCTCACACTGAGGACAAGGTACGTCACACCGAGGACAAGGTTCCTCACGCTGCGGACAAAGTTCCTCACGCTGAGGAAAAGGTTTCTCAGGCTGAGGACATGGTATCTCACGCTGAGGACAAGGTACCTGACACTGAGGACAAGTTTCCTCACGCTGAGGACAAGGCTTCTCACGGTGACGACAAGGTTCCTCACGCTGAGAACAAGGTTCCTCACGCTGAGGGCAAAGTTTCTCACGCTGAGGACAAGGTACCTCACAGTGAGGACAAGGTACCTCACACTGGGAACAAGGTACCTCACACTTAGGACAAGGTACCTCAAGCTGAGGATGGGTACCTCACACTGAACAAGGTTCCTCACACTTAGGACAAGGTACCTCAGGCTTAGGACAAAGTACCTCACACTGAGGACTAGGTACGTCACACTGAGGACAAGGTTCCTCACTCTGAGGACAAGGCTCGTCACGCTGAGGACAAGGTTCCTCACGCTGAGGACCTCCACTGAGGAGAAGGTACCTCACACTGAGGACAAGGTTCCTCACACTTAGGACAAGGTACCTCACTTAGGACAAAGTACCTCACACTGAGGACTAGGTACGTCACACTGAGGACAAGGTTCCTCACTCTGAGGACAAGCTCGTCACGCTGAGGACAAGGTTCCTCACGCTGAGGACAAAGTTCCTCACGCTGAGGAAAAGGTTCCTGAAACTGAGGACAAAGTACCTCACAGTGAGGACAAGGTACCTCACACTTAGGACAAAGTTCCTCACTCTGAGGACAAGCTTCCTGACGTTGACGACAAGGTTCCTCACTTTGAGGACAAGGTATTTCACACTTAGGACAATGTACCTCACACTGAGGACAAGATTCCTCAAGCTGAGGACAAAGTTCCTCACACGGAGGACAAGGTATCTCAGACTGAGGACAAGGTTCCTCACTCTGAGGAGAAGGTTCGTTACGCTGAGGACAAGGTTCCTTACGCTGACGACAAAGTACCTCACGCTCATTACAAGGTCCCTCACGCTGAGGACAAGGTTTTTTTGATTGATTGACATCTTTATTTAAAACACGAGGTCCATTTCACAGGTTAATGCTTACGCTGACGACAAAGTACCTCACGCTCATTACAAGGTCCCTCACGCTGAGGACAAGGTTTTTTTGATTGATTGACATCTTTATTTAAAACACGAGGTCCATTTCACAGGTTAATGTTATGTGCTCTTCAATGGAGACGTGTACCTATACTAGTCGACTAATTACTAATAAAAAAGTATCAAACTATTTACAAAGGTAACAAACTACACATGCAAAGAAACTAATATAAAAGAAATATTAAGATATTTTAGATTTAAACTCAACGAGAGATTGAACTCTAGTGAGTTCGACGGGTATGTCATTCCAGAGGGTAGCTCCTCTGTAGGAAAAACTTTTCTTCAAGGATTCCGTTAAGGGTCTTGGTACAAAAAGTTTATGATTAGATCCACGCAAACTATGTTCGTGTATCATTGACGTGGAAGTAAATTTTCCAGACAAATAACTAGGAACCATATTATTAACAGTTTTGCACATAAAAGTTTTGAACTGTTGGGTACGTCTGGTTTCAAGGCTGGTCCAATTCAATGATGTTCAAATATCTGATGACCGGATGTTATAATCAGATTCAGTAATAATTCTTGCGGCCCTATTCTGTAATCGCTGTAACCTTTGTCCAAGACCCTTACCTAGGCTATCCCAGACAATACTACAATAATCAAAGTAAGGCTGTGCTAAAGAGTTATAGATCATGACTAGAGTTGACTGTTGGAGCAATGGTTTTAGTCTTCGTAGAACTCCAATCACCTTGAAGACTTTGGAGATTATAGTAGAAACATGATGCTCCCATGTCAAACTCTCGTCCATTTTTAAACCTAAACACTTATAAGATCTAGCTCTTTCAATTTTGTTTCCGGCGATAGCAATATTAGGTTCTTCAGAAATAGTATTTAATTTTTGTCTAGATGCCATAAACATACATTTAGTTTTAATCGCATTCAGGCTTAGTTTATTCTGGTTAAGCCAGTTTTGGAGAGTTTTAAGGTCGTCATTTAGAACAGAAATCAACTTGTCAGGGTTGCTGTCCGCAAAAGTCAAGTTGGTATCATCAGCGAATAAACGCCCATCTGATACCAATTCACTATTAGCTAGGTCGTTTATGTATATTAAAAACAGTAGTGGACCTAAGATAGACCCATGAGGAACTCCACATGTTTCTTTGCGAGTATCAGATCGTATGTTGTTAATAACTGTTATTTGAGTACGATCAGAAAGATAGTTTCTAAAAAGATCAATCGCTTCTTTGTTGAAACCATAACAAGTTAACTTCTGTAGTAAAATGTTATGATCAATGGTATCAAAAGCCTTTTTTAAATCAACGAGTATTTATTGCATTTATTAACCCACTGTCCATGTTAGAGTACCATTTGTCAGTGACATCAAGCATAGCTGTTAACGTTGAGTGAAGAGGTCTAAATCCTGAATGTATGTCAGATAAAGGGTTGTTTTTGTTTAAAAAGGTATATGCTTGGTCAAAGACAACTTTTTCAAAAATTTTTGAAACTACAGGAAGGACTGAAATAGGCCTATAATTATTCAAATCTAGTTTTGAATCATGTTTATAAATTGCTGATACCCTGGCACACTTCCAGTCAGCGGGAATAATTCCCTTGCGAGTTACTAGGTTAATAATGTGAGTAAGTGAAACCACAGTGGTGAAATTAATTAGTTTTAATAAACGAACAGGAATGTTATCAAGACCGCTAGCCTTAGAAGTCGATAATTTATAAATTAGTCCATCTATTTGAGATGGAGTAATTTCATGTAATTCAAAAACTTAATTACTTTGCGGAATGTTAGACGAGGCCGCACCAGTTGTTGGAATTTGTGCTGCAAATTTAGGTCCGATTTCAGTGAAGTGCTTATTAAAAACATTGCTAATAGTTACTGGGTCAGTAATTTCGATTTCATCTTGCAAGATTTTTGGCATAGTAGTTGAATTTTTAGATTTAGAAAGAAGACTGTTGATACCATTCCAAGTTTCTTTAGTTCGGCCTACGTTGAGTTGAAACAAAGAATTATAATATTGCTTTTTACTATCTCTAATTTTAAAGTTAACTAGATTTTTAGCTGTTTTAAAATTGACCCAATCATTTTCATCTTTAGTATAAGCTGCTTTACGCTTCAATCAATCTCGTTCCCATATTAATTTCTTGATATCTACAGAGAGCCATGGGGCATAGTTTTTCCTTATTCTTCTTTGTTTGACTGGAGCATGCTTATCAGCAACATCAAGAAATAGTTTTTTCCAAATTTGCCAAGCATTTATAGGATCATCTAAGGAAACTATGCACTGCAAGGAATAGCATCAATGTCATGCTTGAATGAAGTTTCATCAAAATTTTTATAACTGCGGGATTTGATAGTTATAGGCTTAGATTTAACACTGGAGTGTTTTCTGATAGCATAAATTAAATTATGGTCGCTGATGCCTAGAACTATAACGCCCGCAGAAGTAAAGTTGTTCGGTTCATTAGTAAGAAAGAGATCGATTAACGTGGATGAGCTATTTGTAATTCTAGTTGACTCCTTAATAAGTTGAGTATATTGATATGACTCACTTAGTTCGAATAAATGTTTAGTATCATTATCTGCCATAGATGCACTCATGTTACAATTTAAATCACCAATGATATTATTTTAATACCAAGGAACTCGATTTTATCTAAAATTACCTGAAGTTTGTCAAAGAGATCCTTGCAAGTATTAGGAGGTCTGTACCACGTTGATATTAGAAATGGTTTAACTTTAGGTTTACTGATCTCAACGCACAGAAACTCAAGGGCTTCATCATGAAGATCATTTCTGAGATTAAAATTAATTGAATTTCGGATATACATAGCTACACCGCCTCCGTGTCGTGTTCGATCGTTCCTAACTAAAGTATATTTATCAATTGATATTTCAGAATTACTAATAGTTTCATCAAAACGAGTTTCGTTTAAGACCAGTATACCTAAATATTGATGTTGCATGTTCAATCTTAATTCATCGATATGCTTGGGTAAACTTGCAATGTTTAGAAAAGCAATTTTGAAGCCTCTGTGGTTAGGTAAGTTGAAATCAGTTCGTTTGTGCGTATTAGAATCGCTTTTATCAACATTGGAAAAGGTTTTGTTAGACATACCCGTCGCTACTAATCAATGATTAATAATATAAGACGAGATTCATTTAGCAATAATGGCAGTACCATTCTCAGAAGGTTCCTCACTCTGAAAACAAGGTTGTTGACGCTGAGGTCAAGGTCCCTCGCGGTGAGGAAAAGGTTCCTCACGCAGAGGACAAGATTCCTCACGCAGAGGACAAAAGTTCCTCAAGCTTAGGACAAGGTAGCTCACACTGTGGACAAGGTTCCTCAAGCTGAGGACAACGCCCCACACTGAGCAGAAGGTTCCTCACTCTGAAAACAAGGTTGTTGACGCTGAGGTCAAGGTCCCTCGCGGTGACTGTGGACAAGGTTCCTCAAGCTGAGGACAACGTTCTTCACGATGACGACAAGGTACCTCACACTGAGGACAATGTTCCTCAAGCTGATACAAGGTACCTCACACTGAATACAAGGTTCCTCACGCTGAGAACAAAGTTCCTCACGCTGAGAACAAAGTTCCTCACGCTGAGGAAGAGGTTCGTCAAACTGAGGACAAGGCACCTCACACTGAGGACAATATTCCTCAAGCTGAAGACAAGGTACCTCACGCTGAGGACAGGGTTCTTGACGCTGAGGAAAAGGTTCCTCACGCTGAGAAAAAGGTTCCTAACGCTGAGTACAAGGTACCTCACGCTGAGGACAAGGTATCTCACGCTGAGGACAAGGTTCCTCTGGCTGAAGACAAGTTTCCTCACGCTGAGCACAAGGTACCTCTCACTGACGACAAGGTTCATCAAGCTGAGGACAAGGTGCCTCACCCTGAGAACAAGGTGCCTCACACTGGGGACAAGGTTCGTCATGCTGAGGTCAAGTTTCCTCAAGCTGAGGACAAGGTACCTCACACTGAGGACAAGGATCCTCAAGCTGAGGACAAGGATCCTCACGGACAAGGTTCCTCATGCAGAGGACACGGCTCCTCACGCTGAGGGCAAGGTACGTCACACTGAAGACTAGATTCCTCACGCTGAGGACAAGGTGCCTCACAGTGAGGACAAGGTACCTCACACTGAGGACAAGGTTCCACACGCTGAGGACAGGGTTCCTCACGGAGAGGACAAGGTACCTCACACTTAGGACAAGGTACCTCATACTGAGGACAAGGTTCCTTAAGCTGAGGACAAGGTTCCTCAAACTGAGGACAGTTCCTCACTCTGAGGACAAGGTTTCTCACGGTGAGGACAAGGATCCTCACGGTGAGGACAAGGTTCCTCACGCAGCGGACAAGATCCTCACGGTGAGGACAAGGTTCCTCACGCAGCGGACAAGATTCCTCACGCAGAGGACAAGTTCCTCAAGCTGAGGAAAAGGTACCTCACACTAAGAACAAGGTTCCTCAAGACAAGTTCCTCAAGCTGAGGAAAAGGTACCTCACACTAAGAACAAGGTTCCTCAAGCTGAGGACAACGGTCTTCACACTGACGACAAGGTACCTCACGCTGAGGACAATGTTCCTCAAGCTGAGGACAAGGTACCTCACTCTGGGGACAAGGTTCCTCACGCTGAGGACAAAGGTCCTCACACTTAGGCGAAGGTACCTCACACTTAGGACAAGGTTCCTCACATTGAGGACAAGGTTCTCACACTGAGGACAAGGTTCCTGACGGTGTGGACAAGGTTTCTCACGCTGATTACAAAGTTTCTCACGCTGAGGACAAGGTCCCTCACGCTAAGCACAAGGTACCTCACACTCAGTACAGGTACCTCACACTGAGGACAAGGTTCCTCACACTGAGAACAAGGTTCCTCACGCTGAGGACAAGGTTCCTCAGGCTGAGGACAAGGTTCCTCACGCTGAGGACAAGGTACATCACGCTGAGGACAAGGTTTCTCACGCTAAGGACAATGTTCCTCTCGGTGAGGACAAGGGACCTCACAATCAGGACAAGGTTCCTCAAGCTGAGGACAAGGTACCTCAAGCTGAGGACAAAGTAGCTCACACTGAGGACAAAGTACTCACACTGAGGACAATGTTCCTCACGCTGGCACAAGGTACCCCAAGTTGAGGACAAAGTACCTCACACTGAGGACAAGGTTCCTCAAGCTGAGGACAAGGTACGTAACACTGAGGACAAGGTACCTCACACTTAGGACAAGGTACCTCACACTGAGGACAAGGTTCCTCACGCTGAGGACAAGGTTCCTCAACCTGAGGACAAGGTACCTCACACTGAAGACAAGGTAACTCACGATGAGGACAAGGTACCTCACAATGAGTACAAGGTACCTATCACTGAGGACAAGGTTCCTCATGCTTAGGACAAGGTTCCTCAAGCTGAAGACAAGGTACCTCACACTGGGGACAAAGTTCCTCACGCTGGGGACAAGGTTCCTCGCGCTGAGGACAAGGTTTCTCACGCTGAGGAAAGATTTCTCGCGCATAGGACAAGGTTCCTCACGGTTTGGACTAGGTACCTCAGACTGAGGACAAGGTTCCTCACGCATAGAACAAGGTTCCTCACGCTGAAGACAAGGTACCTCGCACTGAGGACAAGGTTCATCACGCTGAGGACAAGGTTCCTCACGCTGAGGTCAAGGTACCTCACACTTAGGACAAGATACCTCACACTGAGGACAAGGTTCCTCACGCTGAGGACAAGGTTCCTCAAGGTGAGGACAAGTCTCACACTGAGGACAAGGTACTTCACACTGAGGACAAGGTTCCTCACTCTGTGGACAAGGTTTCTTACCCTGATTACAAAGTTTCTCACGCTGAGGACAAGGTCCCTCACATGAGTACAAGGTACCTTCTCACCTAGGAGAAGGTTCCTCACGCTGAGGACAACGTTCCTCACGCTGAGGACAAGGTTCCTCAGGCTGAGGACAAGGTTCCTCACGCTTGAGGACAAGGTTCCTCAAGCTGAGGAGAATGTTCCTCAAGCTGAGGACAAAGTACTTCACACTGAGGACAAGGTAACTCACACTGAGGACAATGTTCCTCACGCTGGGACAAGGTTCCCCTCAAGTTGAGGATAAAGTACCTCACACTGAGGACAAGGTTCCTCACGATGAGGACAAGCTTCCTCAAGCTGAGGACAAGGTACCTCACAGTGAGGACAGGGTACCTCACGATGAGTACAAGGTACCTCACAATGAGTACAACGTACCTGACACCGTCGACAAGGTTCCTCATGCTTAGGACCAGACTCGTCCCCTGTCGCTTTAAGAGCGGGCGCGCGGCCAGAAGTGGGCGCGTAGAGGCTCACGGCAAGGGCGAAAGAAGAAAATTTAGCGACTGGCAGATTACTGAGGACAGGGTACCTCACGATGAGTACAAGGTACCTCACAATGAGTACAACGTACCTGACACCGTCGACAAGGTTCCTCATGCTTAGGACCAGACTCGTCCCCTGTCGCTTTAAGAGCGGGCGCGCGGCCAGAAGTGGGCGCGTAGAGGCTCACGGCAAGGGCGAAAGAAGAAAATTTAGCGACTGGCAGATTACTGTGATTTTTCTTGCAAGAAATTGGTTTTCTTGCAAACTAATATTTTATGCTTCAATTTTGGATTTTTTGACATTGGTATACATAAATCGATCATTTTATGATGTAGTCTCTGCAAAGTGCGTATTTTTATCAAGTATATCGGCCTTCAATTGGTCAAGTCTGGAGTACTTTAAAATGGCGGACTCTGATGAACTTAGATGGTGAGTCTAAAAGATAATATAATACATTCTACCACTTGAATGTCTTGAATTTGTTGACCCTTTGAGCCGTAGCATAAATTTGCGTATACTAAAGAAATTAAGAAACTGGAATTCATTATACGCTCGGCTGATTAGCGCCATGTTGCCTTGTTTCAAGTTGTAATTTTTGTCGTTCTGAACTATAGACTTCAATTCCATAAATTCAGATGAATGTCCTAAGACCAGCACTCCTAGAACTCCTAAAGCGAGAAAGTTGCTGCCATTTGACGTCAAACACAACCTAACACCAGATTCTAAGAGTCCAGGATTACCAAGAAGGCAAGAACTAAATGCAGGAAAGTTGTTCAAGGTTGGAACTTGTATTTTTAATAAGTCACTTGTTTGAATGTGCAGGTGATGTTGGCACATTTGTTCCTGGAGATCTTCAGGGCTCTTTAAAGACTATATGCATCAAAATAGATGGGTTGAGACTTAAACAAGAGGATGTTGTTACTGATGATCTTAGTGTAAAAAGCCACCTTTCAAGAGCTTTGGCAGTCATATTTCCTAACTGTGAAAAGAAAAGGGTGTTGTGCGAACATAAACAAATATATTCTTTTTACATGTGTAAAGGCTGATGTGCATATGTAATACATGATCAATCCAATTCATAACATTGTATTACAAATGACATAATATTTTTATATTTGTCTGGTATATTGTGTTTTGGTTAATCTTCCTCAGGATGCTACGTCACAGAATAAGGTACACAGAAGGCCGACTTCTTGGGTTTTCCTATGATTTAGGCGTAACCTGTAATTCGTCATCAAATGCTAACGCCATAGTCCTAGCCAGTGCGCGTTTGACAGGCATTCACCCCCTGATATTATTCAAAATGGCGAACGTCCAGGGGGGAATGCCTCTTAAACGTGCACTGGCTAGGACCATGGCGTCAGCATTTTGATGATGAATCATGGTGTGGCAGTGGTTACTCGAGTCGACCTTCTGTGTGCCTTATTCTGTGGCTACATGCCTCTCACGCACCTTCCCCCCCCCTGAATTTTTCTACACAACCACCCACCCCCCACCATGCAGATAACATATGAAAGTATAAAGCTTTATTAAGTTAATATAATAGACATGCTCCACTACATCATGTACATTAACTGTAATTATAATACATTTTAGTTTTAAATTAATTTAAAATTATTCACGGTTAATAATTCCATTGAAGAAGTCCAATTAAAATGGTTCAAAATTAATCCAGCGTTTGTGTCTTCAATTTCCATACATCTTGCTTGGTACTGCAGTATTTTGCCACCCAGATCAAGATTAACCCTTTAAGTGGCAATGCACCCTGATATGCCCTACATTATTATTTTACTCTGTCTAACACCAGACAATTTACTCATCAAGGGAGAGTGCTGTCACTCTAGGGCTTAATTGGGAAACCAGGGTGAGTCAGGACAAATTCCCAATTGTGTGATAAATGGTGTCCCAATTGTAAGATAATTCTGAAATAAACAAGAATATATTATATGTTGTAATGTTGAGTACAGAAATGAGAGATACCAGAACCATTGGTGGTGCAATTATCAGACTTAATGGTATAACAATCAAAAGTCAGTGCCGTAGCAAGTTCGATAATTGGGGGGGGGGGGGCTCATATTCATATATTCATATTCACAGTCCATAAAAACAATCAATTTCAAAAGAAATTAATAACGCAGAACACGAATATAATATATGAATATGAGCCTCCCCCAATTATCAAGCTTGCTAACAGGGCATTTTTTAACTATATAACTGGGGGGGCCAAAGCCCCCCCAGCCCCCATGGTGGCCCCCCCACTCAACCATTTTGCCCCCCCCCCCCAGTCAAAGTCCCTTTTCTCTAAAATATAAGCAAAACATGGAATTTAGAAGGGAGGTTTGATATTCTAGTAACTGAAATTTGCTTTGTGAATCTTATGTCCTGTCTTTTATGTTTAATAAATACCTTATTAGATTTTAGACATTTCCTAGGCAGTGGATTGCATTTCCCAGACCCTATAGATTTGAGTTGTTGGACAAATTAGTGACCGCAGGGGGCAACAGGCCCTCAACCAAGTGTTTTATAAGGGGGGATAATTTTGCCCCCCCCCACCAAAAAAAAACCCAATTTGATTTCGAAACTAGAAGTATTTGAAATCATATATACATATAATCAAATATCAGTAATCGATATTTTTATAACATTTCTCGTAATAATCCATCCTGACTCGCGGATATCATAGACTCGCAAATCATAATGAACGAATTAATGAAAGGGCCTAACAAAAGACATATAGAAGACTTTGAAAATGCCATTTCCGACGATTTAGAGACGCAAAATTGTTCCGCTCTGTGCCAACCATGGTGGCGCTTCGTGGGAGTCGGGAACTCTAAGTTTATCAAGCTGGCTCCCTAAGTGACGGCCAAGTTGTGGTATCTACATAAACATACTATGCAAGTACTTAACTGAAGGTTCAGTCTATCTACAGCATAATGTAATGCTGTATATCCAAAAATCTGTTTCAGAAAATGCAGGGAATTGCAGTCATAGGGGTAGAAAAATACAAAAATTTTCTGGGAGAGAAAACCTCAGACCCTCTCCAGGGTCGTAGCAACCGCAGGGGGGGGGCTGGGGAGCTGCAGCCCCCCAATAATTTGCTAATAATCATTCATTTTTCAAATTCATGCAGACCTTTATCATTTAATCCATGACAAACTGCAAAGAATGAAGATATTACCCATACTTTCCTGCAACCTATCCAATATATTGTTAATTAAATACGCCTTCGCCCATTTAGTACTACTGAATTCTAAATTTCCACATACTAAAAAGTCCAGGAAATGGCGGCATTTCAGAGACTCTAAATTTAAAAATTTCCTCGGGCCTTCGGCCCTCGCTTTCAGCCCTCCCCCCCCCCCCAAACGAAAAGAGCTTCCTACGGCCCTGCTCTCCCCCCCCCCTACCATTAAATTCGATACCACACCAAACTTTTTGTTACCAACAAACCATCTATCATTGCTCCACACTCGGTATAGTATGGTCCCTTTTTGTAGATGGCCCCCCCACTGACGAATTCTTAAAAAATGCCCTGCACTCAGAGTAACATTGCACAAACATCATATTCACCTGAGTACATAACACCAACACAGAAAAATCATTTTAAGGACCATTCTTTAAATGCAAAGGTTGTCACATGCAATAGTCAATTCTACAATCCAAAACGCAAATATTTTTGACAAAATGCAAGCAAATGCAGATAATATTGCTGGCATGTGACATATTTGACTACTGCAATACAGCATTGCTTGTGACAACATCATAAGAATTAGCTGCATATATTATACTCTTTCTATACTATGCTCAAAAGTCTTTAAATCAAATTTTGAGACATGTGCTATGTACAAGTACAGTACAATTGTCTAGCTTTAGTCATACACGATTCTCTGGTGTGAGCAAAACTAAAGTGATACAACTCTAAAGACGTTGCCGTGTTGGGAGTTTTGTGACCCAACATATATCGCCTGGTAATTAATATTGAAAAAGGTAAATGGTAAAGTGATTACCAGAATCCAGATACCACAGGAGTTACCGGTATAAGGTTTTAAAATATATCTATTGGGCCCAAAAAAAAATATGTGGGTTGCCGGTTTCCCGACCCTACCTAGCTTTTGGACGTCGAAATCCCGACCCTAAACGTTTTTATTGGATCATGCTTGTAAGTGTTTCCACTTAGAAGAAAAAGTTTGTGGAAAATTGAAATTTGAGGCAATATTAGGGAAATTTATCTTTGGATGTGAAAGCACTGACTAAACAAAATGGCGTTCGTTTGTTTGGAAAATTAAAAAAAAAGCTTAAAAAAAAGTTAAAACCGACCTACCCTACCTAAGTTTTTATAAGAAGAAACCGGAAACCCACATATTTTTTTTGGCCTTGGGCAAGACAATTACAAATACCATAAATACTGTGTACACCATACCTTTTATTAAAACAGTTGTGGCCCTCCATACTCATGAGCCAGTTGCTTGGAAACCTTGGAACACAGCATGATGTTGTGTTGAGAGTCAACACTAAAATTAATTAAAGCAGAATATTTAGTATAGTATAAGATGGCTCATAATGTTTCATAAGTGTATGCCTGCAACAGCGCCGTAGCTAGAACCGATAATTGGGGGGGTGGGGGAGGGGATGGTGTATATTCATATATTCATATTCATGTAGTGTAACAACAATTGCTTTCAAAAGAAATCCCTCAGGCAGAACACAAATATATGAATATACACCCCCAATGATCAGTCTAGCTACGGGCCTGGCCTGCAAATACAAGTTAACTTGTATGAATGTGGTCATTGTGGTTTACATAAACATAATGTTAGTACACAAAGTTACCTTTAATCAAACGTATGCTAGATTACTCTCATAAGCATTCAATGCTTTCAGTTTACGACGAACATAATCCTATAAAAAATAGATATATGTTAAACCATTAAGGCACAATCCCTCCTGGTGCACTTACTATGCTATTTTACACTGTACACAGCTTTAATAGTGCCTCAAGAAATTTAACACAAAAAGTAAATTCACATTTCGCAAGCAAGAAAGAGAAGCCAGGGTACCCGAGCTGGTCTGGTTTTGGAGAGACACCACATTTGGTATTATTTCTTGTCAATTGTCCAATTTAATCTTGCGATAACATGAGAACTGAACTGACCTGCCCAAGCGTAATGGCCTACCTCAACTGTAGTAGGCTGTGGCCAGTCTGGGTGCCTTGTTACTTGCTTGGATACCTGGGCTGGTCTGCCTCCATATATGAAATACAGCACTAGGTACACTATAGTACAATAGACACTTAATCCTTGCCTTGTTAACCTAGGCTGTGAAGAGTTTTGTGATTGTGATATGCACTTTGGAATAATGCACGAAGCAATGTTTTGTCCGCCTGGAGAAGGATGGCATACACAGGAATTGACTCGAGTTCTCGCAACTTGAAATTTCTTAATAGGGGAAAATTTGACAAAGATTGACTAAAAAGTGGTGCTCTGCAGTGGAGCTTATTGTCATACATACAGTAGCAAAATTGAAACTGTCAAATTCCCCTAGGTATGCCTGTCCTCCCTGAGTCAGGCATAACACAACAGTGCAGATCAGAAATATATTGCGTAAACATAACTTGCACGTTTTGCCTGCCAAGGGCAAAGACAAGGGTTCTATAATATTTATACAGTAAATGGGGTATATACTGTAGTATTTTTAGCAGTGATTTGCATGTAATAAATTATTAACCAGCATCTATGACTGAGTTCAGCAATCTTGAATTAGCCTTTGAATATTTGGCGCAATTATTTTAGGAGCCTAAACTTTCATTAAATCAGAGCGTTCTATACCATTGAAATGACATGTATACACAATTTATCAGATATAAGTACAAATGCTTACCCTGCATAGCTTTGGCAACGTGTCTCGCAGTTCTGTTTGACAAATTGTCCATTTTATCAACCTTCATATCTTCGATGGACAACTTCGTCTCGTTTATAGTCGTCTTTAATATTAACTGTTCTCGTAAGAGCCTGTTCTCCTGGCCGACGTTTTGTAGTATATAAACAGGACATATTGGTCAGATAACGACACAGCCATATTTATATTACAATACGGGACTTGCTGAAGTTTAGCTCAGTAACTCAAATGTACTTTGGATGGACGAAAACCCGGTTTGTGAACCTTGAACGATAGTGACGGTTAAACCTCATCATAAAAATCCAAAATTGAGTGGGAATTAAAGGACATTGGCAACCAAAATTTTTATTACTTATATCTATTAGGTATACTTACGGAATATTTAATTTCATATTTTGGCCGGTTTGTCGCGTTTAGTTGCTGA